GACCATTCACTGATCTAACCTAGAACCTCAGCTTAGACGTAGCCCATGCCAACCCAGTCTCCCAGTGGGTTCCCTAGTAAGTTCTCTGACATGAACTCAGGGGCAGGTTGTTTGATCACCTCCCCCTGAGGGGGGTGCAGCCTTACCAGGCCACAGAGGAAGACAATGCAGCCATTCCTGATGAGAACCGATAGGCTAGGGTCAGATGGAAGGGGAAGAGGACCTCCCCTATCCATTTACTTGGACAGGAGCAAGAGAGATGGGGGGGAGGTTGGGATTGGGAGGGAATGAGGGAGCAGGCTACAGCAGGGATACAAAGTGCATAAACTGTAATTAATATTAAAAAAAGATATAAAATACTAAATAAAAACAAAAACAATAAATTAATTTTTAAAAGATGATTTTCCAAAAACAAATATAAAAAAATGATGATGGCTTTGTTCAATTTGCAGCATAAATTCATTATAATCAAAAGAAAATTCCTAACAATTTATAACAACAAAGGCGATTCCAAAGCAATATGCCACGTGAGAAAACTCAAAATTCTCAATAGGTTTATGAAGAAAGAGTACACATTGGCACAATGTAACTTCTGTCTTTATCACAAATTTACAACAATCAAGAATGTGTTCAATATTTGTGAAAGAATGAGGGGATGGACAGAAAAAGCCAAAGCCATAAGCCTAAATATATATTCAAGTTTTCATCAAATTGCATAAGGAAACTCCACCATGAAAAATGTGAACTTAAACAATGTTACCTTTGACTGTTTGCATTTAGAAATTAAATAAACACAGACTTCATGACTCCAACAAAAGTAACTCAAAGTGACAGCTAAACTTTTCCATTTCTGACTGCAGCAACTAAAGCCTTTTCCAAACTGAGAGGCCCCATGTGCTAGAGAATTTTCGGTAAGTGGAGGTGAATGGAAAAGAAAGAAAAAGGAAAGGAAAGAAGGAAGGAAGTAAAGAAGGAAAGAAGGTAGGAAAGAAAGAAAGAAAGAAAGAAAGAAAGAAAGAAAGAAAGAAAGAAAGAAAGAAAGAGAAAGAAGGGAGAAAGAAGGAAGGAAAGGAAGGAAAAAAGAAGAAAAGAAAGGAAGAAAAATTAAGGCAGGAAGAAAGTAAGAAAGAAAGGCCAGGAGAAAGAGAGAGGGAGGAAGGGAGGGAAGGAGGGAGGAAGGGAGAAGGGAGGAAATCTTCACCAGCTCCCACTGTGCAGCCGCCCGCTCTTCCCCGCTGTGGACAGTGACCCTGAGCTCACCATGTCCCGACTTCGGAGCTTGTCTGAGTCCACTCAAAGCACCCAGCAGCAGCACTCAGAGTACATTGTTAGGGATAGATTCAAGCCTGCTCAGCTACACAGCAGAAGGTGCAGCTGGCCACTCGGACAACCCTCCTCTTTTAATTAGCAGGTCAGACTAAAGGCCCTGATTGGCCAGTGAGTTTTGAGTGACATCAGCACCTCCCTGAGGGCTGGAGTGTACTGGAGGGACACAGCATAGTGTTTCCTGGCCTTAGCTTCCTGTCCAGGGCCAGAGATTTTCCGGATCTGCAGAGATTTGCCTTTCAGTAGCACTTGTGCCTCCTCCTACAGTAGCCCACTCGCCTGCCTTCCCGCCCAGCCCGGGAAGCACCCAGCAATGCAGCTCCCGCTGCTCAGCCGCCTGCTGGGCCCCTTTTCGGGCCCTGAACTAACCACGGTGTGAAGTTTGCCTGATCCCACCGCAGCACCCAGCAGCAGCGCTCAGGAACCTGTCGAACCTGTTGAACCTGCTCGGCTACAAAGAGCCTGAAGAAGGGCACCGGAAAGGACCCTCCTCCTCGTCTGACTGGCAGGTCGCCTGGAGGCCCTGATTGGCAAGTGAGTTTTGAATGACAAGTAGGAACATTGTGTAGTAGTTCCCGGCCCAAGCTTTCAGTCGGTGGCCAGACATTTTCCCGACACACAGAGATTTGCATTTCAGGAGCACTTATGCGAGTCCTCCAGTCTCCTCGCTTTCTCCACCTACACCCTCCCCAAGTCCGGGAAGGATCCCGCAGCAGAACCTCCTGCTCCTTCTTTTTCTTGCTCACGTTGCCCCTAGTTCGGAGCTTGGCTAAGCTTCCCCCATAGCACCCAGGAAAAACTTCTTCCTCCTGGAATCAAGGTGGATGATTTGCATAGCCCACTTTTCAGCTTGTAGTGGAGTTATCAATCTGCCCCACAAAGTACAAGCATGCCCAGAATATTAACAATTAAAGAGTGAATTTGGGAAACAAGAATTTGTTTTGTGGCTTCATGTAAACTGCAGCTACTTTTCACCTAGTAGATAGGAAACATCTCTGGGAGAAAAGCAGGAAATAGATAACAAGCCCTGTGGAGCTCTGGTGTTAGCCAGCCCATCTTCCTTGGTGGGAAAGTGAAAAGGAAACAAACAGCTGCATTAGTAAAGGGCTGTAGATGAGCAGAAGGGATAGAATGAATCAATGTGTCTAGAATGTGGGCTTAATAGAGTATCTCACAGGCTATGTTCAAACTAGTCAAACAAGGGCTGTCTATCAATGCACAGTAGAAGAATCCAGTAGAGGCTCAGTCCGTGAAGCTCAGTGTCTCAGATGGTCCTCGGTAATTACCAGAATTCTGATGAAGTAGGCTCTAATGCCAGACGATAAAAATAAAAAATGAAAGAAAAGGAAAAGAAAAATGAACTTGCTAGACAGAGGTAGGGCAAGCAAAGAAAAAGAGCTGACTTCTTCGTTTTCCTTTATATATGTAGGCTGCCACCAGAAGCTATGGCCTAGATTAAAGGTAGTTCTTAAAACCTTAAAAGATCCAGATTAGGGAGTGCGGATGTACCAGGCCATAGAGGAAGACAATGCAGCCAGTCCTAAAGAGACCTGATAAGCTAGGGTCAGATGTAAGGAGAGCAGGAGGAGGGTTATGAGAGGAGAGGAGGGAGGGATTGTGGGATTGGGAGTGGAGTAGGGAGGGGGCTACAACTGGGATACAAAGTGAATAAATTGTAATACTCAAAAAAATAAATTTTAAAAAAGGGGGAAAAAAGATCCAGATTAAAGAAGTTTTTTGTTCCACTTCAAAAGCAATAATTAAGAAAAGTTCCCTCAACTCCCCCTGGGGGGGAGCAGACTTATCAGGCCACAAAGGAAGACAACATAGGCCTGATAATATCTAATAGGCTAGGGTCAGATAGAAGGGGAAGGACCTCCCCTATCATTGGAGTGGAGAGGGGGATGGGAGTAAATGAGAGGGGAAGGTGGGATTGGGAGGGGATGAGCGAGGGGGCTACAGCCAGCTGGGATATAAAATGAATAAACTGTCATTAATAAAAAATAAATGAATTTTATAAAAAAGAAAATAGGAGCAGCGATTAAAAGTCTCTGAACCAACCCCACCCACCAAAAAGAAAAAGGAAAAAGAAAAGAAAAAGTGCAGGGCCAGATGGTTTTAGTGTGGAATTCTACCAGATTTTCAAAGAGCTCACACCAATACTCCTCAAACTATTCTGAAAAATAGAAACAGAAGCAAAACTACCAAACTTATCCTATGAACCCAGAGTGACCCTGATACTCTCACCACACAAAGACCAAACAAAGAATTTCATACCAATCTCTCTTATGAACATTGATGCAAAAATACTCAATAAGATATCTTCAAACTCAATTCAAGAACACATCAAACACATCATCTACTGATCAAGTAGGCTTCATCCCAGGGATACAGGGATAGTTCAACATATGAAAATCCATCAATGTGATTCACCACATAAACAAAGTGTAAGAAAAAAAAAACACATGTTCATCTCGAAAGATGAGGTAGTGAATATCTTTGTTACTGAGGCATGTTTCTTAAATGCAGCAGAATGTTGGATCCTGTTTCTGCAACCATTCTTCTATTTTTATTATTGAAGAGTTGAGTCCCTTAGTGAGCAATAATTGCTAGTTCCTTTTATTAGGTGGGTAAGTTGCTGGGCTTTGTGGTCAGACCCATGTGTTCAATCTCCATTCCTTTCCTGTAGCACTTTCTGTATCTCTGAGGCTTTGTGAGAAGCGCTGAAACAGAAGTACAAGGTCTTGAAGAATCTTTTCTGTCCTCGGCTATACCTACTGGGTTTAGGACTATGTTCCTGGTGTGTTCAGGCAGGGTTCCTGGGATGTCTTTGAAGACAGACCTTTCTGTATGACCTTTCTGTACTGTCAAATTGCAAGCAGTGCCTATGTTGGGCAAGGATGCAGCAGTATCTACCCACTGGGTAGCTCTCAAAGAGGGATCCTCCTATCTAGTCCTCAGATATTGTTGGCAATTTGGGGTGGTGTCTGTAGGTGGATGGTAGGGAAAAAAAAAGCTAACAGGAGCACTATCTGCTCTACTTCTCACCTCAGGACTAACAATATGATTCCATTATAATTCTATTATCTTACTTCTAATTGGACTCTCAACTAACACACTTACTATATTCCAATGATGACGAGATATCATTCGTGAAGGAACCTTCCAAGGACACCACACCCCAACTGTCCAAAAAGGCCTGCGATACGGAATAATTCTATTCATCGTATCAGAAATATTTTTCTTCTCTGGGTTTTTCTGAGCTTTCTATCATTCTAGCCTAGTCCCTACGCATGACCTAGGGGGATGCTGACCTCCCACAGGAATCATCCCACTAAATCCATTAGAAGTACCACTACTAAATACATCTGTACTTCTAGCATCCGGAGTATCTATTACATGGGCCCACCACAGCCTTATAGAAGGGAAACGAAATAACATAAATCAAGCTTTATTAATTACAATCATTCTAGGACTTTATTTCACCGCCCTACAGAATATATAGAAACCTCCTTTTCCATCTCAGATAGCATCTATGGCTCAACATTCTTCATAGCAACAGGCTTCCACGGACTCAACGTAATCATCGGATCTACTTTCCTTATTGTATGTCTCCTCCGACAACTAAAATTTCACTTTACATCAAAACACCACTTTGGATTTGAAGCAGCAGCATGATACTGACACTTCGTAGACGTCGTATGACTTTTCCTCTACGTTTCCATCTATTGATGAGGCTCTTGTTCTCTTAGTATATAAGTACAATTGACTTCCAATCAGTTAGATCTAGTAAAAGTCTAGAAGAGAACAATTAATTTACTACTTTCTCTCCTAATTAATATCTTTTTATCCTCCCTCCTAGTTACCATTGCATTCTTTATCCCACAGATCAATATCTATGCAGAAAAAGTACACGCTTACGAATGCGGCTTTGACCCTATAGGTTCCGCCCGACTACCATTCTCAATAAAATTTTTTCTAGTAGCAATTACGTTTCTTTTATTTGACTTAGAAATTGCCCTATTGCTACCCCTTCCCTGAGCCATACAATCACAAAATATACACCAAATAATACTCATCTCCTTCTCCCTCCTTACTATTCTAGCCCTAGGACTTGCATATGAATGAATACAAAAAAGCCTAGAATGAACAGAATAACATATGGTAATTAGTTTAATAAAAATTAATGATTTCGACTCATTAGATTATGAAAAATTCTCATAATTACTAAAGTGACCCCTATTCTACTCAACTTTACTATAGCATTTACGCTAGCCTTATTAGGAACCCTCATATTCCGATCCCACTTAATATCGACCCTACTTTGTATAGAGGGTATGATATTGTCTCTATTCATTATTATTTCCATATCAATTCTTAACTCCAATTCAATAATTTCCTTCCCTATTCCTATTATTATTTTAGTCTTCGCAGCATGTGAAGCAGCTGTAGGCCTCGCACTTCTAGTTAAAATCTCAAACATATACAGAACGGACCACGTCCAAAACCTCAACCTCTTACAATGCTAAAAATCATTTTTCCCTCACTTATACTAATTCCATTAACTTGACTCTCAAACAATAAACTAATATGAATTAACATTTCCTCACACAGCTTTTTAATTAACCTAATCAGCCTAACTCTTTTATGACAAAACAACATAACCAATACCATTTTTTCACCTATATTCTTTTCCGATACAATTTCAACCCCCCTTATTATTCTAACAACATGACTTTTGCCACTCATAATCCTAGCTAGCCAAAATCACCTAAACAAAGAAAAAGCTAACTATAAAAAACTATGTATCTCTACATTAATCTCATTACAAATTTTCCTTATCATAACGTTCTCAGCTACAGAACTTATTATATTTTATGTTCTATTTGAAGCCACCCTAATCCCAACACTTATTATTATTACACGATGGGGTAATCAAACAGAACGACTGAACGCCGGACTCTACTTCCTATTCTACACTCTAGCAGGCTCTATTCCACTACTAATTGCACTAATCCTAATACAAACTCAGACAGGAACTTTAAATTTCCTCATTATATTACTCAACAACTTCCCACTCAACTCTACATGATCTAACAATATTATATGATTAGCATGTATAACAGCATTCTTAATTAAAATACCCTTATACGGCGTCCACCTATGATTACCCAAAGCCCATGTAGAAGCTCCAGTCGCGGGATCTATAGTGCTAGCAGCAATTCTCCTCAAACTCGGAGGCTACGGAATAATACGAGTATCTATCATACTAGACCCTATCACAAAATCTTTCTCTTACCCATTTATCCTTTTATCCCTATGAGGAATAATTATGACTAGCTCAATTTGTTTATGACAAACAGACCTAAAATCACTAATTGCCTATTCTTCAGTCAGCCACATAGCACTAGTAATTGCATCAATCATAATCCAAACTCCATGAAGCTTTATAGGAGCCATAGCACTAATAATTGCACATGGACTAACATCATCGCTCCTATTCTGTCTAGCTAATACAAACTATGAACGAACTCACAGCCAAACTATAACCCTAGCTCGAGGCTTACAAATTATTCTTCCCCTAATGGCTGCCTGATGGTTCCTAGCATGCCTGGCTAATCTAGCACTTCCACCATCAATAAACCTTATGGGAGAACTAATAATCATAATATCTTTATTTCACTGATCTAACCCCTCTATCATTCTCACAGGTGTAAATATAACAATTACAGCTTTATACTCAATATATATGCTCACTATAACTCAACAAGGGAAAATTACAAACCATATTAAACACCTTCAACCGTCCCATACACGAGAACTAACACTAATAGCACTTCATATTATACCACTTATCCTCCTATCAGCAAACCCAAAACTAATCCTAAACTACATAATATGTAAATATAGTTTACATAAAACATTAGACTGTGAATCTAAAAATAGGAACTTATAAATCCTTACTTACCAAGAAAGTAGGCAAGAACTGCTAATTCATGCACCCATATATAAAACATATGGCTTTCTTGCTTTTATAGGATAGAATTAATCCATTGGCCTTAGAATCCAAAAACTCAAAAACATTTGATAAAAGCAATTAACATTTCCCTATCTTCAATATTTCTCATCCTACTTATTCTAATCACCCCAATCCTAATTTCCATAACTAACCTCATAAAATTTATTAACTTCCCATACTACGTTACTAAATCCATAAAATACTCATTCCTCCTCAGCTTAATCCCATTAACACTATTCACCTATTTAAACACAGAGTATATAGTCATTTCCTGACATTGAATAGACATTAACTCGATAAAACTAACAGTTAGTTTCAAAATAGACTTATTTTCCATACTATTCCTATCTGTAGCCTTATATGTAACTTGATCTATCATAGAGTTCTCCTCCTGATATATACACTCAGACCCTCAACTAAATCGTTTCATTAAATACCTCCTATTATTCTTAATTACTATAATCATTCTAACCTCAGCCAACAACCTATTTCAACTTTTCATCGGCTGAGAAGGAGTGGGAATCATATCATTCTTACTTATTGGTTGATGGTACGGACGAACAGATGCAAATACTGCAGCCCTACAAGCAATACTATATAACCGCATTGGAGACGTAGGACTAATTATAGCAATAACATGATTATGCTTAAATTCAAACTCCTGAGAAATACAACAAATTTTATCCCTAAAAGACCCAAGCATCCTACCACTTTTAGGTATCCTAATCGCCGCTACAGGAAAATCAGCCCAATTTGGACTCCATCCATGACTACCATCAGCTATAGAAGGCCCAACACCAGTTTCAGCTCTACTTCACTCCAGCACTATAGTAGTAGCAGGAATCTTCCTACTAATTCGATTTTATCCCCTAACCTCAAATAACAACTTAATACTAACACTAATATCATGCCTAGGCTCTCTCACAACACTATTCACTGCCATTTGCGCACTCACCCAAAATGACATCAAAAAATCGTAGCATTCTCAACATCAAGCCAACTAGGACTAATAATAGTCACCCTAGGAATTAACCAACCATTTCTAGCCTTCCTCCACATCTGCAACCATGCCTTCTTCAAAGCTACATTATTCATATGTTCCGGGTCAATTATCCACAGCCTAAACGACGAACAAGATATTCGAAAAATAGGTAACACCATAAATTTACTCCCCTTCACCTCATCCTGCCCAATCATTGGAAGCTTGGCACTAATTGGCATGCCTTTCCTCACAGGATTTTACTCAAAAGATGCAATCATCGAATCCATAAACTCTTCTTATACCAACGCCTGAGCCCTCTTAATCACACTAATCGCCACATCCATAACAGCCATATATAGCATATGAATTATTTACTTTGTTACAATAACTAAACCACGATTTCCCCCACTAATTACCATCAATGAAAATAACCCAAACCTCATTAACCCTATCAAATGCCTAGCCTTAGGAAGCATTCTAGCAGGGTTTATCATTTTCCATAACCTACCACCACTCAACACTCAAATCCTCACACTACCATGATACACCAAACTTTCAGCCCTAACCATCACAATCCTAGGGTTAATAATAGCACTTGAACTTAATAACTTCACTACTTACTTCTCAAACAAAAAACCACTGGGATTTTCATCCTTTTCAACCCCATTGGGATACTTTCCAACAATTATCCATCGACTTACTCCCATAAAAACCCTTAACATAAGCTTCTACACAGCAACAAATCTCCTAGATTTAATCTGACTAGAAAAATCTATCCCAAAATTTATTTCCACATATAATATTAATATCTCAAAAATCATAAGCAACCAAAAAGGCTTAATCAAAATTTATTTTCTCTCATTCCTAATTTCACTAATAACCATCCCTATCCTAATCTTAATTTAACCCTACCGAGTAATCTCAACAATTACAAGAACTCCAACAAAGACCACCCAACCACAATCATCACTCAAACAGCACAACTATATAATGCTGCCACTCCAGCTCCTTCTTCACCTATAACTCCTACCTCATCAACCGCATAGACTACTCAATTATCTATACCATAAACTTCTACCCCAATGTCATCTATTAAATAACTTCCCACTATATAAATAAATACTAATTCTATAAACAGCCCTGAAACCAAATAAATAAAAGTCGCCCAATCAGAACTTCAAGTTTCTGGATACTCTTCAGACGCCATAGCAGTAGTATAACCAAAAACAACCATTATACCCCCCAAATAAATTAAAAAGACAGCCAATCCTAAAAAAGGCCCACCATAACCTAAAACAGTCAAACAACCTAAACAACCACTAATAACCAAAACTAAACCCCCATAAATAGGAGATGGCTTTAAAGCCAACCCAACACAACCCGCTAAAAATAATAAACTTAAACATATAATTAGTCATTATTCCTACACAGCACTAAACTCTGACTAATGACATGAAAAATCATCGTTGTGATTCAACTATAGGAACTCTAATGATAAATTTATGAAAAAAATCACCCATTATTAAAAATAGTTAATCACTCATTCATCGATCTCCCCACTCCCCCTAACATCTCATCCTGATGAAATTTCGGATCCCTCCTAGGCATCTGCCTAATTATCCAAATCGCTACAGGGTTATTTTTAGCTATACACTACACAGCAGACACAACAACAACATTCTCATCAGTATCCCACATTTGCCGAGATGTAAATTATGGCTGACTTATCCGCTACATACATGCAAACGGAGCCTCAATGTTTTTCATCTGTCTATTCATCCATATCGGACGAGGTATTTACTACGGATCTTATATTTTTACAGAAACATGAAACATTGGAGTAATTCTTTTATTTGCCATAATAGCCACTGCATTCATAGGATATGTACTTCCATGAGGACAAATATCTTTTTGAGGAGCTACAGTCATCACTAATCTTTTATCAGCAGTCCCATACATCGGACCAACAATCGTAGAATGGGTTTGAGGTGGATTCTCAGTAGACAAAGCCACCTTAACACGATTTTTCGCATTCCATTTTATTTTACCCTTCATTATTGTAGCTTTAGTCCTAGTCCACCTTCTATTCTTACACGAAACGGGATCTAATAACCCATTAGGACTTAACTCAAATGCAGACAAAATTCCTTTTCACCCATACTACACACTAAAAGACTTCTTAGGAGTAGTTTTACTAATCTCTTTTTTCATACTTCTAGTCCTATTTTTCCCTGACCTACTGGGAGACCCAGACAATTCCACACCAGCCAACCCACTCAACAGCCCACCTCACATTAAACCTGAGTGATACTTTCTATTCGCTTATGCTAGCCTTCGCTCCATCCAAAACAAACTAGGAGGCGTCCTAGCCCTAGTACTTTCAATCCTAATTTTAATCTTCTTACCACTAATCCATACCTCCAAACAACGAAGCCTTATATTTCGACCAATCTCCCAAATACTATACTGAATCCTAATCGCTAACCTCCTTATCCTCACATGAATTGGAGGGCAACCAGTAGAACACCCCTTTATTATTATTGGCCAATTAGCTTCAATCAGCTATTTCTCAATCATTCTAATTTTTTTACCAATTGCAGGAATCATTGAAGATAATTTATTAAAATGATATCTCTGCCTTGATAGTATAAAAATTACTTTGGTCTTGTAAACCAAAAATGAAGAATTTTCTTCTCAAGGCATCAAGAAGGAAGGATAAACCCTCCACTGTCAGCACCCAAAGCAGACATTCTACTTAAATTACTTCTTGAACAGTACATAATTTTATATAGTACACAATACATTTATATGTATATCGTACATTCATCTATTTACCACTAACATATAAGCAAGTACATTATATCAATGTTCTAATAACAATACTATCATACTAATATACAGTCTACAAATAACATGACTATGACAAATCCACAGAACATGCATTCTTTAAAATTATTCATGTAAATCGTTCATACCCCATTAAGTCAAACTCCTGCAATTCCAAATGGATATCCCCAAACACATATGGTCTATTAATCTACCATCCTCTGTGAAATCATCAACCCGCCCACCAGTCCCCCTCTCCTCGCTCCGGGCCCATAAAACTTGGGGGTAGCTAACCTGAAACTTTATCAGACATCTGGTTCTTTCTTCAGGGCCATAACAAACCTAACCGTCCACTCGTTCCCCTTAAATAAGACATCTCAATGGTGTGAGTCTAATCAGCCCAGGACCAACATAACTGAAATTAAATACATTTGGTATTTTTTATTTTTCGGATGTATGACTCAACATCGCCATCGAAGGCGTGGTGTCCTCAGCACTAAGTCAAGAATTACTTACAATTCAAGCATGAATTATCCACGCAAGCAGATCCAGCCAACACTCTATTCATGATCTAGGACAATTTAATTTATGATATAAAGACATAAACCCCAAACTCACCAGACATCTTCTTATATGCTAAAAATTCTTAACTTAGTTTTTAGTCTCTCTTCTCCACCACAAAACTTTTCAACTTAGTAACTTACTATTTAAATATTTCTTTATAAAAAGACCCACATTTACAACTCTAGCTTTAGTTATTCTGATAGTAGTATACAAATAATTATTAACTTGTTATTAATTTTGTACTCACAATCAAAAAAGAGACAAGCTCAGGTACCTGCTAATGTAGCTTAATACCTAAAGCGAAGCACTGAAAATGCTCAGATGGACATTTAAGTCCCGTAAACATAAAGGCTTGGTCCTGGCCTTGTAGTTAATTCTGGGTAGGTTTACACATGCAAATCTCCCTGAGCCTGTGCCTAATTCCTTAAAGTTACTCTCAAACCTAAGGGAATAGTATCAAACACATACACCTATAGCTAAAGACACTTAGCCTAGCCACACCCCCACGGGATTCAGCAGTGATAAAAATTTAGCAATTAACGAAAGTTTGACTAAGCTATACCCTAAAGAGTTGGTAAATTTTGTGCCAGAGAATGCCCTCCTGATGCTGTGTGGAGCCTCTGAGCTCCATTCAAGCTCAGCCAATGACATGGTATTCTTCCAGAGCAGCTGTGAGGAAAGGCCCTCTCCTCCCTCAGTGTCACTAATGCTGAGTGTGCACATATTCAGTCTGAAATTTTCAAGGCACCTGTTTCAGGGTGGTACCTAAAAGTGAAGGCTTATTCTAGACCAATGATAAAGCTGGCAGAAAGATTCATTCAGCCCAAGACCCATGTTTTTTCAGGCAAGAGTAAGTTATTCTGCATTCTGTTCAATACCCAATGATGCATGGACAATGTCCATTTTCTCCTTATGTGACCTTTCTGAGAAAGAACTCAGTGGGGTCACTTCAGGGAATGCTGCCTGCTGACATTGCTTTGGTCTGTCTTCCCAGCCGCTGTGACACAAACAGACTCCAGGAGCCTAGACGAAATAGGATGTGTAGATGTTGAAAATGAGCATTGATCACAAAACATGTCCATTAGGATCTGCAGAACTCAGGAGAGAAAGGAAGGCCAATGAGAGTTCTGAAGTTGACGGTTGAGACTACAAAGGTCCCAGTTTGTAACCACAATGGTCATCACATCGGGGTCGAAAAATTGGTTGGAATTTAAACAGTGTCCCAACCAATCATTCTCTGTCCAAAAAAGCAAGATACCAAGCCTCTCTGGGACTTAGTATTCTCGTCTGGCAGGTAAATATTACTGGCATTCGTATAATGTTCTTTTGGAATGTATACACCTTACCCTTGTTCATTCAAATGCTGATTTCTCTCACCCACTCTCTGTTTTCAATCTGGACATTGGACATTGCATTGTGATACTTATTCTAAGCATCACCTGTCTCAACTTTGTGTAACATGCCAAAAAAAAAAAAAAAACAGCCACAATGTTGAGCAATGGACAGGAAGGAGTAGGAGGGAGAGGGGAGGAGCCAGAGGACAGGAAGGAGTGGGAGGCAGAGGAGAAGAGAAGGGCCGGAGAGAGCTGGGAGAGCAAGGCTGGAGGAGAGGTCTTGGAATGACATGGAGAATGAACTGGACCTAAGATTTCACTAAAAGCAGTATAATGTGGGAAATCTAATGTTAGGAAACTATGAGGGCTTGGAGATTTAGGATGGAGTAACTGTAGACTGCATTGTGTTCTAGGTTAATTAAATAAATCATAGTCTCTGTGTGGTGATTTGGTTATACAGCTGTTTAGGATTAACAACAGCTTTAATAAAAAAATAAACCAATAGTAAATATTAATCATCACCTACAACATACTGGCTAATGTGTGTAGGTCCTGGTATGAATAGCTGGTGTTCACTGTACTTGTCCTGGTTTTTTCATCACACGGGCAGTGAGGGAAGG